GAGGAGGAGGAGGAGGAGGAGGAGGAGGAGGAGGAGGAGGAGGAGGAGGAGGAGGCAGATGTCAGCAGTGTGTCACGCATAGCCCCAGGCAACCAGGCTGAGCTCTCTCTGCTGCTGGAGCCAGGCCTGCTCAGGGTAAATGTTTGTAGCCTTCGTTTGGGTTTTGCTGACAAGAGGTAGTGTGTAATTCCTGAGCCCCCTTGACTCCCTGAGGACTCTCTGCTCCTTGTTTAACTTCAGAATCTTGTAGCTCACTCAATACAAAGAAATCCCATAGTAGACAGGCAGCACTTCCTCCAGAGTGCTACAGAAGGAAGAGACAAAGACGAGACTGTCTGTTTCATTGGGTGGATGGCTTCTTTATGGGTGTGTGAGAGCATGTCAATATGTTTCTGTATGTGTGTGTGTGTACATGTATGCAAGTGTGAATATACTTTGCATGTGGGGGGAGAGTGTTGGATTTCTTTTATTTTATTTCTTTTATTTTCTTTTATTGTAATCTTGTCAAAACAGATTACAAGCTGGGCCTGGTGGCATAAATTTATAATCTGAGCTACTGGGAAAGGCAAGGTGAAAGTCTAGTCTGCACAACTTAATGAGATCCTGTATCAAAATCAAAAAGTAAGGGACTACTTGTAATGGCTCAGCAGTTAAGAGCACTGGCTGCTCTTCCAGAGGACCTGGGTTTGATTCCAGGCACCCATATGGTGGTTTACAATCATCTCTAACTCTAGTGCCAGGGGATCCAACATTCTCTTCTAGACTCCTTGGGGACTGGGCACCTATGTGGTGCAGGAAACATCAGAACTCTGTCTCATTTCCTCTAGATGTCCCCACAAAAGCTGAAGTTCCTATCTATGCCCAGTGCTCAGGCTGAGCCTGAAGATACTTTGGGGGAGGCTGAGAACCCATTCCCTGTCACTCACATGTAGATTGCTTCCTAGTGCCAGGACTCAGTGTTTGAAGGGCAACCTCAGTTTTTCAGGGAATACCCAGGAGCAAGAAGACAGCCTGGCCAGTTGGGGCACGCCCGTAATTTAGAACTTATGATTGTGGTGAGGGTGGGAGCTAAGACTCAAGAGTTGCTAGGAACAATGAGGCCTCAGCAACAGGGTGTCATCTTGGAGACACAGTGGGGACAGGACAGAAGAAGCCAAGGGAGAAGAGCAGAGAGGAAGGACCCTGTGGCATGGCATGTGGGAGAAATGACGAGCAGTACATTGGCTTATGCTTGGGACTAGATAGAGCTTCAATACGGGCAGTAAGTAGCGCAGGGCTTGTGTGCTCTGAAGGCCTCCTCTTCTGACAGCCAATACATCTTGATGGCATCGCTCGGGTGGATGCCCCTTGCTTTAAAATCCTGGTTCATGAGCATCAGGTCTCCAGGGAAGCCAGCGATGGGGAAGAGGTTCCTGTTGGTCAGGCCCGTGGTGCACCGTTCCTGTCTCTTCCTGGGAAGAAAGGTTTTCTGGTCATTCCACCGGCCTACCACACACTTTTTGGGTTCTTCTGACTTGAAAGTCACATTCATTACAATTTCTTGTGGGTTTGTGTGTTTGGACCCCGCCTCCCCTTTCTCCCCATGACTCGCTTTATTGGAGCTTTCCACATCGCTGTTTTCACCGGATTTGTCTGTCCCTGTGGAACTCAGCTCTGCTCCAGACAGCAATGTGGCAATCTTGAGCCGTTGGATGTACGTTGAAAACTGCTTATTTCTGAGGTCGTGCGCCAGCTGTATCCTCTTTAAGTGTTTGTTAATGCTGAGCAGCTCTCGGGGGGGCATTTCAAACTCCTCTGTGGGCACAGAAACAGTTGCTGTCCATATTTTTTCTGGGGGTCCCCTCAGAGCAGGAGGAAGGGGCTGTCTTTTATATTGCATTGCCACTTTGTAGTCTGGCGACCGTTCCCTTAGCTTCCTCAGCATCTTCCATTCTTTGTTGACTTTGTCAGCCAAAAATCTTCTTGCCGCTATGGTGTGAACACCACCGCAATTCTGAAAACGGGAAAAAGCTTGTTAAAAGTCTCAATACCTAGGGGTAGGCAGCCCACCATGGAACGAATTACCCAGTGGCTGGTACTCCCTTCTCTGCTGAGAACATTTGAATCCCTGTAAATGACAAAGAGGGCAGATATTGGGAATTAAATAGGCACGGGTTCAAAGCCTGGCTCTCCTTTCATCCACTATGAATTTAGAGTAATTATATTGACCTTACAAAGGTTATTGTGAAGTCTCAGAAGATCATATGTATGATCAACCAGTGTGTGCATATGTGTGAGTGCGTATGAAGTGTGTATGTATATTTGTGTGCGCACGTGCGTTTTTGTGTGGTGCTTGTGTGTGTGTGTGTGTGCATGTGCGTGTTGTGTGTCTCTGTGCGTGTTATTTTCTCATCACTGTGACCAAATCCCCGACAAGAAGAAATCGAAGGGAGAAAAAGCATTTACTTCGCGCACAGTTTGACAGGACATAATTCCTCTTGCTAAGGAAGGTACGGTGGCGGTGCGGAGCAGCTCCCCTCCTCTCAGAGGATCAGGGCAGCAGCCAAGGCTGGGCCCCAACTGGAGGGCCATCCCCTCAGCGACCCACTTCTTTGTTCAGCTAGACCCTGCCTCCCAAAGGGTCCATAAGCTCTCAAAACCGTGCCACTTCCTGGAGACCACATGTCAAAACGCGTGAGTGTGTGCGGGACGCTGCACACTCAAAGCGCAGCACAGTGACTGTAAGAGGAGCTGAAACCTGGCGGCTTCGTCTATACCGCTTACATTTGCAGCTTATCCTTATTTCTGTTTTTTTTTTATTTTTTTGATTCTTTTTAAAAAAATATTAATTTGTTAAAAAATTCTGTGTGTCTGCGTGTGTGTGTGGGGGGGGG